CCACGCCACCAGCAAAGCGAATACAATGTGAGGCCCCAAAAGAAAAGCGGACCTGTTTCTCGTCTAAACCTTACTCATCGCAGAACTAAGTGATCAATTGCTTTCTTTAGAATTACAACTTCATCAGATGAGAAAAACTCTGGCACTCTGAAACCCTCAAAGATCACCGGATTACGCTTGACTACATCGATAACCCATTGGAGAAGACCGAATGGGACTAATGGGAAAAGCAAGGCAGTTAATTTCCTCTGTTGCCTCTGAAGTGCACGAAGGAATATGTAGAGCAAAAAATGTCATTGTTTTTAATGTTCCGTACAGGTTCAGTCCGGATAAAGTAAAACTAACGATACGGAAAGCTTGTAACATGTCTAGCGTTGCTTGTAAATTCCAACGTTTAAAAAAGAAGACACCGAAACATTATTGTCCAAGCATTTTCAAATGTTTGAGTGAGGAAGTCGCGCAGCGATTCCTCCATTGTGGACCGTTCCTAGGTGAGTGCACCCTGTTTAACGGCATTTTGAGTGAACCAGATAGGACACCCCTACAAAGTTCCGAATATGGCAATGTGCCGCGAACACCGACAAAAATAACTAGGCTCTCCGAGATATCTCAGACAAACGTCCAAAAGACGATTGCATTCAAGGTGGATACTAGATGCACTGATTTAGACATCGCTAATCTAACAACGTTGTCAACTAGCTCCAAAGCCCTCATTCCTTGCTCCACTAAAACACCCTCTAAACAAGGAAAGGATAAAGCAGGTTCTCCTACGCCTGACAATAACACTCCCATTATATCGAACTCCTCATACACAAGGATTAAAGGAAAGTCTAAGTGCTTGGAACAGTGGAATAATGACAACTCGTTAAATATATCACAACCCTGCCCAAACCGACAAGATACGTCCGAGAATAAACCACCTGATGTAATTCATAGTCTACTGTCGCTCAAGGACGACTTCTCCAATCTTGGGACCTGTGTCTTTAAAAAACGTATGGATACTAAATGCTCGGTGGAAGCCAAATTTCCCTATCGACCAACCTCCTACAACCACCAGGACGAACTTCCTTCCATGTAGAATAATACGAATAACAACGGTTTCTTGGCTAGGCCTAATTATCATCACTCCACAACCATCACTGGAAGTGCACGGATAATGAGAGGACATTGACCAGTAGGACTATGTTACCACCCGCTCTTTTCCATGTTCCTTCAACCGCTCAAGCGGCTTCTTCTAACAACCATTTTTTAACGGCGATGGGAATAGACTGGCACCCATTCCTATCTCAGATACATCCGGCGGAGGTCAACATTTTGATGCCACTCTTCCTCCAATCTGTCCAGATGACAATACTAGTTGCCAACGGAAACCTAAGCATGATGCCTGGGTTCCCGTCATGCCCCCAACTGTCTCGAGATCCACACATGACATGCTACCCTTATCAACAAACATTCTAATGGCTAACTCGGACCCACCATAATCGCACTTACCTACCATGTGCACCATGCTCGACCGCAAAGATTCAGACGATCACACAACGGACAGCGATCATTCCCCAATACTTAGTGCATTTTCAATGATTCTGGTTAACGCCAGATCCATAACCAACAAACTTCATTTTATAAACAAAATGGCACAGTTCAATGACCCCCAAGCGATCCTCGTCACTGAAACATGGCGTTCTTCAGATACACTTGACTCTATTCTGATGATTCCAAACTACCACTCATTTCGAAAAGATCGCTGTGACAGAAAAGGTGTAGGGTGTATTATATACCTACTCAAAACATTTACAGCTAAACCTGTACACCACTCACAAATGGAAAACATCCTTGCATCTGTTTGGCTGTCAGTTGCGGGTGTCTCATCATACGCACTGCTCGCTTGTATCTACGACCCACCGACTGCGTCTAACGTAAGTTCCACCAATATAACTTCTGCATTTGACTTGGCATCAGAGTTGCCACACAGCCAGAAGATTATTGCTGGCGATTTCAACCTATCGAAATACGCTGGTCATCTTACCCAGCGTCTACCTTGCGCGTCTCTTTTCTTTCTTCCATTAGAACTGGGGGCTGGACACAATGGATTACCAGTCTACCCAAGTCCACCAATGTACTGGACTTAATATTCACGTTGGGGATATCCAATCCACAGACTGAGATCCTAACCAATCTCCCTGACAGCGACCATAACATGATCCGACTCAGCTTCCAAATTAAAATGGTCACTGAACTCGTCTCTACAATGCCAGTTTCAACCCATAAACTGGGAAGGCTTTTAGCAGTTCATTCGTTTCTCCGACTGGGATATATTGTTCCTCTCTACTAGTGTGTACACCACTGTGGAGCAGTTCTATAAACAAATTCATCACGCTATAGCCCTGCTTGCTCCACAATGTATTCATACCCCTCATGTCTCCAATGAGCCCGTCGAGCACTTAATCAGTAAGAAAGCCAAAAAGTTAGCTTGAAGATACAGAAGGACCCATGACTTTCACTTGTCTTACAAATGCATGAATTTACCACCAGAGTCAAAGACGCGCAATTAACACGACGAAAAAATGAAAAACATACAGCCCTACGGACAAGCTGAAAAGCTAGGGAGCTTGTCAAAATACTGCACCGTAGAACCAGTGACCGCTCTCCTCTGATTACCGAAATTGTTGATGGTGAGGGTCAATTACTCCATGACCCAGCTGAAATCTGTGAAGCATCCAGCGACTTTTTTGTCACTACCATGAGTCGCGAAGCTGACCTGGTGCCTGTGTGCACAGACCTCAAAGAAACAAACCTCTTAAGCAGAGTCGATATCTCGCTCAACGCTATCCATCAAGTTATCAAATCAATCGGGCCATCTTCCAAGCTGGGATCAGGTGTCATTTCACCAGCCACCATTAAACTATGAGTGCCTGATATACCATTGCTCCTGATGAGCACGTTCACTCTAGCGCTGGAATCTGGCCACTTTCCAGACCAACGGAAAATGTCATTTATTATGCCACTGCAAAAGGAGGTCCCAAACAAATGATTGATAACTACCGACTAATTCACCGCACTCCGATAATCACTCAGCTATTTGAAAAGGTGGTCAGAATGGCGATGATGAAATTTGTTGACTCTATTGGCTTGATCAATAATTCGCAGCGTGGTTTTCGCAATAAGCCATCGTACACCACCTGTCAACTGCCTTACCTTACTCACATTCCAGAATCACCCGATTCCGGTCATGCAGTAGTGCTCTCCCAATTCAGCTTTGAAGTACTTTCCGCTGTGCCAAGCGTTGCTCGCGGATCTCAGTAACATAGTGTTCAGGGGTCAGCCATGGAGTAATAAGCTCTGAGTTCCACCCCAGCTCAGGCTATCTCCACCTGACGAGTCTAAACCAAGACGAAACCACGATCGTGGTGTGCCAGGGTTGTGAAGAGCAACACCCAATTACCTCCAGTAGTAATCTTGTTTCTTGACACATCAAGCGTTCGACCGAATACCGCACAAGCGAATGTTACAGAAGTCGGTGAACTTTGGGATTCGGGACCAAGTACTAAGTTGGCTATCGCCATACCTGATTGATCGTCATCAGGTAGTCACTTTAGGTGATTATCGCTCTTCCCCAAGCTCAATCACCAGTGGCGTCATTCATGGGAACGTGCTTGGCCCCTTGCTCTTTTTGCTCTACATTAATGAAATCAACACATCTGTAAAACATGTTACGCCATTTTTATTTGCTGACGATATCAAAATCGTCTATAACCTTTGACAGGACGAGCTTCGCGGGACATTACTGCTCATTCAAGATGATTTACATTCCGTTGAGTGATGGTGCTGCACATGGGTGACGAACCTCCCGGCTAAGCAATATAACATCATGTCTGCTGCATGGCTGCTGCATCCCCGAAGGATCTATCACCCAAAACAATGAACGCGTCCCTACAATGTTTTACGCCCGGGATCTTGGCATTAGGTGCTCGTCTACCTTGAATTTCTCCCAACAGGCCTAATACCAAGTAGCAGGTGCCAGACAGTCTATGTTCAAAATATTAGACAAAATACACACAACTCGTGCTAGAGTTGAGCTTTTCAAGCTACTCCCTAGCCCCATCTTCTAATACTGCAGCATAATATACGGAAATATGAGAAAGAGTGGCAGAATTGTTGTGGAGCACCTGTAGAGGTCATTTCCTAAACATCTGCTTGGTAAACATTCTGCTATGAGTTACCGGGAACATTGCAATGAACTTCATCTCGAACCACTTTGGAATCGACAATTGAAGCACAACTTGTTGCTGATTTTCAACATGTTACACAAAAAGACCTATTCCAACCTGCCTACACTCAATTTACAACACAGTTCAAGTCGAGAGCAACAAAGATTTTACATTGACTATACAGAAGGCTAGAACGAACATCCGCTCTAAATTCTGTGAAATAAACTACCAATAACACTCAGGCCATGTGACAATGTGGCAATATTTACAAGCAGACTTGTCAATTACCTTGACCTAACTATTCTAAGATTAATATTCACATGGAAAAAATCTCGATGAGCTATTCTAAGTGGGGCCGAAAAACCTATAAACACCAATGTTTTCATAATTAGGCTTTGGCCTCAACCATCCGCCAGAATGTTAATACATGAAACGCATATCCCAATACTATACCTATACATTTCACCCATGCAAATTGAGCTGTACGGCTATAGACACAGTTTCTCACAACAAGAGCAATATACGTATTATTATTACTACTCTGGTCTTGTATTAGGGTAGTTGAGAAGAATGGTACACCTTATTAGATTTTCTGCGATCGCATTTGATTGCCTCACTATATATAACAGTGCAATATCCTTAACAAGTTTTAATTCAACTCAGTTTACTAGTATACAGTAATAGAGATGATCTGGGAAAGAGTAAGAAATAGTGACCACGCTTGCAACTGGGTTTGCATGTACAGACAATGTACGGGGAAAAGCAGACATTGGAGAAGTCACGGGAACGTACCACATGAACTTTCATTGTTAATGCGGAAGTAACCCGTTGAACACGGTCCCTTTTGTCTGCAACCCAGCAGACCAACGCGCATAGCAATTCGATTTTTCCAGTTTATCGGATGAATTCGGACGTAGCGCGCGATAAACGGCGATGCCAAATAGTGCACGCGTTCAAGTACTTGCTCGCTGTTGCCTTCAAAAAGCTTTGGTAAAGGGATGGCGTTAAAACGTGGTAAGTTTATATATATCGAGCCCGATCAAGCAACTGCTAGCAAACCGTTTTAGATGGATCAATAAAAATCTGTCCCTAAAACGCCACCATGAAGAAGTGACAATACCGTAAAGCGGTATCGGCTAGCTTGAAATGGTTTGGCCCTGGAGAAAATTTCCAGCTAACCACGTGTTCCACACTCGAATGAAATTGCAGTTCTGTTTGTATTATCATCTAGAAACATGTTTTCAGCCTTCCATTGCATTAGGAATACCACAGTTAGCATCGCATTAATAACAAAGTGGCATACAAACCTGGTCCACGAGTAGTCAAAATGAAGTCGGTTGTGACCAATTTTATCCCATCCTTCGCCGAATGCATCGCTTTGAAGCAATGAACTGAACCTTTCTACATGCAATTGATTCTTTGGGTTAAACCCGGTTCGAATCATACTAACTTGCCAGTTGACTTAAATGATTGGGGGAAATGAACAAACCTATGTGCGTATGTCTGCATTGCCGGTAGTCTGCGGAGGATGATGGACCCAATTCTTCGGGCATCCCCAACTAACGCATACGAGATACAGCTGCTGCTCAGAGCGGGTCATGTGACGTTGTACACACACCCATTGACGCTGACGCGAAGATGACCCCAGAGAAACTATGCCAATGGACTCGAACGGTACCAACAAACTTTTGTACATATTGCTGTTGAAACGCAATTTTGATCAATCAGTCGGGGGCAAACAACTGTGCGTTTGAGATTAGTTTGACTTGTCGGTCATTAGGAACATCAGGTTCGTCTTCAACAGGCAATGCTAGACGGTGCGAAGCTACAAATGTATAGCCACAAGTTTACGACCAGACAGTGGATTTTGTGATAGTTACCGGTCTGCAGTTTTCCTTAGGAATTGTATAAGACTGAATGCCCTGAAGTTACAGGCTAGCAAATCGAATCAAAATAAAAAATGAGTCAAATGGACAGTGGGTTTTCCAGGACAAAATGTGGAATATGTTTCGGTAGCTGCTTGACTGAGAAGCCAAAATGCATGAAGCTCGTTGAACCGCGCAGTCATGATGGCATCCGCATAATGAACTTGGAATGGTCACCATACACAATTGAGACATCACAGCCGGAATTTTAGATGGTGCCATCAAGTGATTGACATGGAAGGCATGCGAATTGCTCAGTTCCCTCAAGCAAGGAAATGTCAACTAAAACTATGGACAGTGAAGTGGTTACTTACACACGATTACATTGGTTAATGACAGTTCTTTCAAATCAATCTTCCGATAATTCAGGGACATGTGCTGCACTTCGACGCTGACTTATTCAACTATGGAGTGGATTTGTGATCTTTCTCTGTTGACACCTAGACGATTACTAAGCTAACAGTCAAATCGTTGGCAGATATAAAGTGCCTTATGTTATGATCTGGCCAGCAAAGAAAACAAACTAAATGGTCTTAGTTACACATTTGTTGTCCAAGACAGTTATTGTTCCGTCGAACTGGTGAACCTTAACAGTTGCATCTATCCACCACAAGAAACAGTCATGTACCCGTGTTGAGAAACCCAGGTAGGACCAAATCAAATATAGTCTTGACTTTCCAGATAAAAACACCTAAAAATCGAAGCTGAACGTAAATGCTGTCATGCATGGCTGCGGAAGGAATATTTTGTTCACCGAAATGGCTTTAGCCAACACAAAATTCGCTATACGTTGGAATCTGAGATATCAGTTAAAGCACAAAAATGATTGCATAGTAAAAAATATTGATGCGATGCTCCCCAGAATTGGTGCAAACATATGGCACCTGTGTCATTCAGAAAAAAACATGCAAACTAAATTTTGGCGAAACCCTCTTCCACACATCAGCAGCATGCCAAATACATCGCCACGCATGCGAGTAAACTTGGTGGGAGAAGTGATCGCTTCATCTACATCCCGCTAGTCTATTGTATAAATTCATGTGGAATGACGATTATAGGCTAATTGGGCTGAACACTTTGTGCAATTTAAAAGTGAATGAATACTATGGTTAGTGCTGCCCCTCGATGGTAACTGAAACACTCCGAAATTGACTGTAGTGAGCAGACTAAACGCATTGCTCGTTTTGCGAACCACATTCCACTTCGCAGGACCAACTATGACTAACTTCGTACCATGTCAATTTACGAAGCAAGGTGGACACAGTAAATCAGTGGTCTGGTTTGATTAGTCCGACCATGCATCTTGCTTTCCGGCTGTAGAATTTACACCATAGCCATTAGCAATGCAATTAATCGAACGCGAGAATAGAAAGCATTATGATGGGCAGAAAGAGACCACAAAGTTTTCCTGCACCGATGTGCTGCTATTACTTATTACTGAGCTCGGCAACGCTGTTGACTTTGCTGCATTATTCGTGCAGTTCTTGTCGAACATACCGAAAGCATGCGTGACCCTGATTGCTAAATAGTGGGATCATCGCTGTTCTTCATGTCCCAATTATCATATTCCAAGTGATCTACCAGACTGTCCGTGCACGCGTCACCAGATATTCAATGTTCCGCGCTCTTTCCCAAGAGAAGTGTCAACTAATGTTAAATGTTAAATGATTTGGCAGTATTTTCTGTCTTAGATGCCACCCGAACTTTTCGGAATTTTTTCAGTGATAGAGCAAGATTCTGGGTACCTGACAGCCCCTTCTCCTGTGTTGTTGGCTGAAGTACACAACGGCTTGGCAAATTCAAAGACCTTCAACAAAGAGGCATTGAAGAATGAGCAATGTTGCTGTATTTGTGGTATGTATTCACTTGCCTATACACCCCACTTGCTGATCTACGTAGAAAGCTCCAAGGTCAACAAAAAGCGAGTCATTGCATTTTTCGTTCCGCGAAAGTCATACTTCGATTACAGGATCTCTTGTGCCGCAATTAAACAGGCTTTTCATGTGCCTAAACACTCACTATGTCATCAATTGCGGTTGTTGCTCTGATGGATTAAAAGCTGCAACGAAATTAGATTCCACCCCCTTCTTTCCTTAGTAAAGTGAGCGACTTCAGTGAGGCTGAAGTGAATTCCCATCCAATTGAACACTGAATGTTTAAATGATCATCTAGAGCGTCTTGCACATGACCCATATGGCCAACCTGACTATAATATTGGTGTGGATATTTCCTGCAGGGTGGGAATAACTCCAAAACAATGCTAAGCAGCCGGGACTGTTATGAGTAGATTTCTACACGAAAATCGCTATAAGATGACAGATATCCTTATAAAACGCCATTAGTAGTGTGTTACTTATCATCATCACCGTCACCATCGTAGGAATCCTAAGATGTCCTGAAAATTGCTTTCAAGCACTAGTAGGTCGATCGTAAACTTGGGCAAAACCGTAATTCTAACGTTAGAGGCAAAACACCACATTGGCTAGTTCGACAGATAACATCAGACTAGCTTTCACCTTCCCTGTCACTCCCATCTTTTCCTGCTGGTCAGCCTTCAGGGCCCATTCGTAAGACCATATGGTGGACTTTACCAACGAGCGACCACGGATAGTATGTGATCAAACAAAATTTGGAACATAATGGGAACAACAAAATGTGGAACAGAAGAAACAGAACGTTGCATGCAAACAAAACGAAAGAAAGAGATAGATCATTTGGATTAGCAATTGCATGTTATGCATTAATCAACAAACAGCATGTAACCATTTTTGATGGATTAAGGAATTCTGGTAGCATGTAATAAATACCAGCATGGTTTATAACCTAGCAGCTATATTCTGTGTCTCCTAGTCCTACGTCATAGTTTGTCTTCGGTGGCAAAGCAGCTTTCTACCTACTGTTAAACATGATGATGGTCTGGGAGCCTTAAATAAGTTGTTCTATCCAGAAACTCGAGTATAGTTCCAAACATGTCGTAAGACTGTCCGTATTTTCCGAATACCGTATAAAAGCACTAGTTTTATAAGCGTAAATTCTTCATTATTGAATACTTCCAACACTATCTTGAAACCCTGGAGCAGGAGGCAATTCATACAAAAAGAACACCAGTACAGATTGGTCTACTTAGGATGTGGACAGTATTAGTAATTCTATTTTCGACTAATCTCAACCACATTGCATTAAACAAGGAATATCTGGTGCTCAGTACTCACTCGGGGATCAAGCGGCGTGGCATCTTTATAAAAGTACCACAGACGGGTGTCGTTACTATAAGACAATTTGAAGCGCGTTACATATTGCGGTCTTTTGTTGTCTCCTCTTCCCTTTAAAAGGACGCCAGTGATTTGAGTTGGAGGGCCAACGTCGACTTGAAGCCATTGATGTCCTGTAGAGAAATAACAATAACAGCGAGCAATAATTTAAACTTTTTCGAAAGCTGTGTGTAACTGAACTGCCCACTAAATTACATGCATGTCGGTGAGAATCTTCGGGATAAAATCAACTCTTTCATCTAAATGCATGATGCATTGCAACCGACCAGTAGAGGATCTTGAAATTTACTAGACAAACTGCCTTTCTTCTGTCACTTTTGAGGCTACATCCACGGAAGATTCCCGAAAGGATAAAGAACTGTTCAGTGTTTTCCCGAATGAGCAGTGGTTGTCTAACCAAGCAAGAGAAAGACGAATCTACATTAAAAATCTTATCCAAAGCCCACATTTCACTAATCTCCAATAGTTGTTTTACAACAAATTTACTGAGGTTCTGATCGAAGTACCCCACTTCTTGCATTTCGGAGTGACATATCAGAAGCTCTTTTGGTCTTAGCCATTAAGGTCAGGGGCTGTATCCGAATGCATTATAATAGCAGTATATTTGGTCAACCGGAAGCAGAAAAGCAATGACAGAAGTGCGCAGAAATACAGACAAGCAAGACTACAAATAGAAGTCCTCACCGTAAGTTCACCGCTTGCCTGTATATTATCGTAGGCGAATATAACTCTTGGCATAAATATCCCTGGGTAGGTTTCGATTTCTATACTAGCATTTAATATCATTTCCCTTTTGTTAGAGGACTTAATGGATCGTAAACACTCACGCATCAAGTAGTAGCTTCCTCACCAGAGATCAACGGTAGCAGTAATAATAGCGCCCAGCTTAGCGCGATGCAATTCGAATGCGCAAACAGGGAAATTACGATTGCACCGTACTACCGAAATTCGCCCTAACAAATTTCCATAAGCATATTCCGTATTCTCGAGTTTGCGTGAGTTTCTTGCAATATGGTAAACCACCCCAATTGTCAGTCACATAACCGGTAGGGAAGTGAATGCTCTGGGTCGACATCTAGCTCCAGGAGGTAGGTCGCTTGGAAGTCAAACGCAGCGGATTTACTTACAGGTGTACAATATCCGGCAGGTGCAGGATAACAACCTTCGTGTGACCCTTTGGAAAACACAAAATCACAGCAAGTGGGTCAAATAGGCAGTATAACTTTGGAAAGCAGACTTCGAGCGTCAAGTATCGCCAGCGGGATATGGTTAATGAGGTGGTGTTACTCTCTATCAGTAGTTGTCTGACCTCAAACAGTTTGGTGGGATTCTCTCTCGGATGACAGGATTAGGGCAGTTACCCGTTACCAGATGGAGGTATCCTACAAGCAGAACAACGCCGCGGGCATTGTGTTTGCGAAGTCCCACTCCGACTTTTCCAAAAGCTGGTTATCAGATTGGCAGATTCTACTGACCATACATTTAATACTAGCGTCATTCGCTGCCATACTGACATAAAACGTATGAAAAACGAAACGCTACTAAACACACGTAAGCACTCAGACATTGAACAGATGCGAAGAGAAGTTGCAACATTTGCCAAATCAGCCTCAGTTTCACTTCACGTAAAAGGTGGTTATATGGCTGTGGTTCAAATGGAGATAATGGAAATAAGCAACTCGTCACAGTATTAGCAATCTTCTCTAGGATTAGTAGAGACTGGCTAAACGGTAGTCAATGACCTGTATAATGAAGGTTAACAGAAAGGCGAGAAACAAGTATGCTAACGTAAGTGGTTACGGCTTATATTAGGTGAGACAGTTTACATGAGCATAGTTCTACTTATGAAAACTAACAGCTAAACAGGAATGGATGAGCACAGCCAAGTATTTAATGACATACGCAAACTAAAACACACTATAGAATTGTATGGTCAGTTAACCAAAATGTGATGTCAAGTGAGTACAATTCGCACGACCCTATTCCAGTAAGGTTGGTGAATTTCAGCGTCTGGTAAATATCTGCCCAGTAACCAGCATTGTCGGAGTGCAATGTATGCAAAAACGCGTTCCACATTATCAAGATCGACATGTCAGTTTGTTACTCCTATAAAGATAACGATTATGTGTAAGATGAATATTTATGGATGTAGTGATCATTCTGATCATTCTAAGTCATCCGGAATATAGGCAAAGCGCTAAAAACAAATTACAAGCTATGAACTGTTTGTCGGTTTCGCCTACAGCCCGTGACTCTACTGTATTCTGAAGTTAGATACTTGAGTATTACAATGACGTGTGATTTCTTTCCGTCAATCGATTTTAGTATAATCCATACTGTTCGGCCTACACTCATCTATGTATAACAAATGCCTTATCTGACACTAAAATTCCTTATCTGTTTTTGGACCTAAGTGTGCCCGTAGGCGATAGCTATTCTTTTCAACACGGATGCGTTTGAAACTAATGAACTGTTTGTAACCAGATTGGCCCTGACGCAGTGTGATAGTTAACCTACATTTACGATCCTTTGAGTCGCCTTATGTTTCATTTATGCGCATTTCCAGAAACAGCCACAACAATCAGTGCATACCAACCACGGATAAGAGGGCGCGAAAGGAAATGCATCTGTGTTGTTCCATCGAAAGATAATCGGGCACATACAGTCATTAATTACCGTGTATTTGCTACATATTGCCTAGAAAGACTGGAACTGGGAGGTCACTCAGTTTTGCGAGAAATATCAATGCTGTGGAACGTGGCCATGTTCATGCCGTCTTGTGACCAAGGTTTCGAGCCAAAGGTTTTGGTAGGTAGTTCTAAACACTCCCCGACCATCTGAAACCGTTCCAGATCCCAAACAACCATAGCTGTCGCATCACACCTCCGGCTATTGTGCCATAGTTTTCTTAACTAAGTATTAAAGTACATTAGGTAATGTTATATTACATTAGTCGGTCACTTAGACTCACCGTAGTGCTTATCAACCGAAGAATCGAATGCAGGCCTGGCGTCCAACGGTAGCTGTGACTAATGTGGCATTGTTCTCCCTTCCATCATTGTATGGGAGCGCAAATTGATGCCGCGTGATAGACGCACGTATCAGCAGCGACCCACAACCAGCTGGTGACCTGTTCGCTTTGTCACCGCAATAAACAAATGTCAAGCTATTTCATAAAGTCCCTTGTCGTCGAATAACACTAAGCGCACCTCGACATATGGATGGACTGAGCAAGTTGAGAAGGTTTATCACATCTGTTGCCCAAAAGAGATGACTCTTTAGAGGCTGAACCAACGGATGCACCCATCACTTCTACGTTTTAAGTAACTAACTTATTTATTGATTTTTAAAGGCAAGAATGACTTACGTATCTAGCTTTCCTCCGTTGCAAGTGCAACGAGCAGTGCGTCTAATAAGCTGCGACTGGCGTGTATTATGACAGTTTGACGGCCTTACCTAGCTCGTCAAACAGTGTTATCGTACCTACACGTGGTTGTACATTTTCTCCAAGTAAACATGGTAACACTTAGCAATGCAATAAAGAAAATATGGTTGCGTGTTAAATTTTATTTGTGTAGCTTGTCTTGTTATCGAATCACCCGAATCATGCAACCCCGGCAGTACGAAGGTTGTATCGTATGCTTTTCCGAAACAGCCTGCGTTCTGATTGTGCACATCCCCAGTCCAGCTAGCAGCAAGAAGTAATAGCAATTTTGTTGTATGCCATTTAGCCGCAGCTACTACAGACCTTGTCAAATCAGCTTCAACATCTACCTGGTTGGAAGGCTTAAAGTAGACAACGCTATGCGCTATTACCGTGCAGTGGAACAGAGAATAATTCCCCACTCTGACAAACTTAGGGATCTAGTGACTGCTTGTTATACGATGTACCCTTGGTGTTCTTGTTGCATAGCTGGTTTTCGGGAGTGACTGCCGCGTGTTTTTGCTGAGTCATCCGTACGGGGAATCCTCTGGACAACAGCTGGACCAAGTGGCTGAATCCCTTACCAAAAGTAGGCTTTGTCCCGGCTATGTGAAATGCGTAATACTTGCTTGTGCATTATTGGGACATGTGTCATCTGGGAACGTTTACGTCATGCAATGGGACTGGTATGCAAGCTGTTTGGCATGTTGTTGGACGGTGTGTTTAGACCAATCCATGCCGTTGATTGCATGAGTACAGGGAAGTGTTTAGCAATCCAGTCTGCAGCATGGGGTTCTTCTCGTGCAATAAGACACCATGTAGGTTTTCTCCTGCACGTCTATGCAGCTGTTTGTACGTTTCGGTGTACCCGCACTGCTGGAGCTTGCGTGTTAACAGGGCAACAAATGATTCCCGTGGAGTGACCAAAGATGACATGGAGATTTGTCGCTTGCAATACGGTCTAGTGGAGGATAAATAATTGCATTGGTTAGTTGATCGCAGTGCGTTGACTTCAACTGTCGCAATGCTTGAGGTTGAGACGATCAGTTTATCAAACAACGAAACATGTTATTGAGGACACAAAGTATAGATCTGGAATCAGGTCGTGAGTGGTTTTTCCGGCAGTGACTTCTATGAGGAACAACCAGAGGTGATAGTTTGCCTCGTTAATTACCGAGACTGAAGTTAGAACATTTAAGATAGAAAACGGATTGCTTTAAATGGCATATTGAGACATTTTGTGTCTAAATGGCAATGTTTCGGGCTATATTTTACACTCCGTGGTAAGCCAGCCAGTGAGTTTAACAATTCAATTTTGGGAATTGTTCATCGTGAGCTTGCGAGGTAGAAAATGCCACCGCAACTGTGCAGCCCACTGAGTGCCAACAAGACAAGGTCGTACATGGTATCGGAGGACCATGACCTCAGTAGTCAGTAAAAGAAAAGAATAAACGACCGCGAATTACGCGATAGATCGTAAACCAAGTTTTCCTATACCACGTGTGAAAATTCGAGTCTCCGACAAGATGAAGTTCAACAAACGTCAATTAGCAATCGCTAGAGTCAGTTATTAGGATATTAAGTTTCCTCTAAGTTGGACATTGTTGTTGCGAACGTTTCGTAATTAGTCAAGATATCATCCTCAGTGTAGCTAATTTGCCAGCGAAAGGTTAGCTTCAGACAAATCAG